AGCAAAATTCATGACTAAACTATATATGTCCTTCACCGCCCACACACACGCACGCACGTCACGAGTCATTATTAATATTGAAGCCTTCCTATTTAAAAACAAGTCAAAGTCGAGGAGAGATAGGCACGTATAGCATACCCACAAAATGATAGTACTTATTCCTCGTGATGACTCATGGGGTGTTTAATTAATGATTTATTCACGTAATTTTACGGACGGTGAGATGTTTCTGAAGTTCTAAGTTCAGCCATGACTCATGACAGTGGGGGAATTTTGAATTCCATATAGTCGGTTTCAGTGCTAAACCTGTCAAAGATCTAAGCCTTTTCTTTTCAATTTATTTTAAAACACATCAATAATCAGATTGAGGAGTCTCATCTATGTGAAATAAACTGAACTTTAAGACAGAACAAAACTAAAATATGCTATGCAATATACACACAATAACCCATAGCCGTGTGTGGCTTTGGACCGTTAAGGCAAGAGCCTTAGGCCTTGTCAAAACCTTATTTATAGTTTATATAATTATTAATTGGTTTTTATTTCATTTATCATTGATATCAATTTTATTTACATCTTTTGGTTGAAAATTTATTGGCACTTCATATTAGCGTTAATATTCACATATCATTCCAACAAATAAGGAGGGAAAATACTTTATTAACAACAATTCTCATCTCCCTCCATCAAATCAATTTGATTATTTTAGGAGAATTATTTGATTACAAAACTTTAATATATAATTATGTAACTAACAAAAAAATTATACACGCTGAGCCTTGCTAATAATTTTGCCTTAGGCCTCAAAAGTTATTATAAGCCTTAGCTTGCTGGTTGATTTTTCAATTAAAAGTCCTTACTCTTCTTTCATTCTGCATAGTATTTACTATTTTGTTTGGCCATTTATACCATTTCTATGATTCCTTCTTGATTAGTCCTTACTTTCTTTTTTCCCCTTCCTTGCATAGAGGGGAAATGGCGCTCTGGATCTTCACAATGCTGAAAATTTTGGAAAATCGCAAACACTCTTTTTTACTTACTGTCATTATTTGTTTTCTTTTATCCATCTTACTTGGAAGTGGAAAATTCTAAGATCGAGCAATAATGTTGTACTATTTAGGATTTGCGTTTTGTGGCTTTTACAGATTTCTGTTTAAGGATGTGGGTTTTGTGGCTTTTAGAGACTATTCGTGAGAGGTGGGGGGTTAAAATATATATGGGTTTAGGTTTTCTAAAAAGTTCAAGTCTAATTTTTTTTAACTCAGGGATGAATGTTTTTCTATTTTTAAATTATATTAATATAATATATGTATATCTAGTTGAAACCTTTAGATAATATATATATGTGTGTGTGTGTGTGTGTGTGTGTATCTATCATTCATTTATTTTATCCTTAATTTATCTTTATACATCTATCTGGTGGTTTTAGTTTTAGTTTTTTTTTTTTGTGTGGGCTGTATAGTTTGTTTTATCTAATTTGTGATATTCTTTTATATCTAATCAATTTTTAAATCTCTCTCTCTAATTTTGTTCTTATCTTTTATTCTATAAGACGATTTTTTTAATTTTTTAAGTTGTTGCATGTAAGGATAAATTTATTAAATAACTTTACGTCAGCTTAATCCAACAAATTTACTGATTATTCTCCAAAATTGATCTTAGATGCCTCTTTTATCGTCCAAGGCCTTATTTCTTTTACCCCATCATGGATTCTCTTGAACTTTAACTTGCTCATTCTTCAATTATGGATACTTCCTTGAAGTCTCTGAAAGCATTATGCTTTTGTAACAAAAAGTGTTTTAAAGTATTATTTGGTGTTTGAGAGTAATTCTATCTTTTCAAGGAACTTGAGGGACTCCTGATAAGTTGGGCTAAGTAGCTTATTGAATTATGGCATATGTTGAGCTTCTAGGCCCAAAATTCTTGATGTTACATTAGCAATGATTTATTTATTCATATTTCCAAAGAAAAAAATGTCATTAGATTTTATTGGTCTAATTTTCCGGTTGGAAGAATGAGACTTGAAATGGCAAGCTTTGCTAGCTGCCCAACGATTTTTCCTATGAAATTGTAGAGAGATAAACTAGGAACCTCATGAGTCTAAGCTTTAGAGAGTAAGGAACACCATATTAGGCTATTTACGAATAAAATTTGAGCAACCTTCCAAATTTTTGTCCAAAGTATAAACTTGACTGTCCTCCACTGTTTTTGACATAAAATCGAAGCAAGGATCTAAATCTCTATATTAAGGCTTTTATGACAATAAAAGATGCCAAAAGGGATTCGTTACATTATTATTTTATTTGACAATCCTTTTAGTATGCAGAACTATTATGAAAGAAGGACATCTAACCTAAAGCTTACTCAATATGAACGAATTAAATTAGCTCACAAGTGAGGTGTCGCCTTTGCAAATAAGCTCATCCATGCATTTTTTGATTGAAAATGTAGTTTGTATAATCTTCTTCAATGTATCTCTTGAGTTAAAAATATTAAAAAGAACAATCACTATGTTCCATTCCTTCCAAATTAAATTATGTTGTATTAGTTTACTATAATGACTCCAAATTTTAAATTAAATAAATCCTCATCCAATTAATATTTAATTTATTTATTTTAATTTTATGACAAATGAGGAATATTGGCCTAGTGAAATTTATACTAGTTATTTCTATAGAGGTCTAAAGTTTGAATCTTACTTAAGCCAAAGGTTACTTTTATTTTCTTATATGGGAAATTACTAAAGTGCCCTTATTTTTTATTATAAAAATATGATAATAACAATAATAAAAATTCGGTGTGGTCTCCTTTTGAAATTTTCCCCAACAAGCTTTGGGTCTTGTTTTGTAATTTTCTCAATGAGCTTATTATTTCATTCTCTCCATTTTTCTTGTCGGTTAGAAGTTGCAGAAAACACACACACACAGGGGGAGAGAGAGGTACAGTTCCCGTCTGTCTCTGTTAAATAAAAAGTTTAATTTATTTTATTTTATTTGACATTGCATTTGTTAAATAAAATGTTTAATTTATTTAACAAATGTATGCACTCCTTTGTTGCTCAAAAATCTCATCAAACATGTCATATATGATACAACAATCATTACAGCCACTACATTTTCTTCCATGTTTGGTGAAAAAACATGCATACACCATACAAGTAATGTGCCAAGCATGTTTTTGAAAGGAAATATACAACATAAATTGAAAATAGAGTATTGCTTGTTTAATGATGTCAATGATGTTGCTTTTGCGTAATCATGTTCTTGATCTTGTTTAATGACACAACAACATCTATCATGTTGCTTCGCATTCAGGAAAATCAATGCAACAATTTAATGCCAATTCAAAAACACTGGATGTAGAAGTCAATATATCACCAATATGTTGATCATCTCCTTGCAATAAATTGGAATCTATGACATTAATTATTTCATGTAGCATTGAGTCACTTACCCAACTCTTCAAGTTCAATCCTGCAACAAACATGTCTTCTGTTGGTTTTTTTCATGTGAACACTTCCATTAATATAATTCCATAGCTTTACATATCTACTTTTGTTGAAACAACTCCAGTAGACCTATATTCTGCATAGAATTAGATTCAAGCACCAAAAATTCAATTATTTCGCATAGTCATAATTTATGAACCAGAATAAATTAAAAATACACATTTAATTAAGATTAATTGTTCAAAATTTTTCATTTGTATTGGTGTTTCTTGTGTAATCATTACACTACGATTTTTTTTATATAGAATTACAATACAGCAATCCTTGAGAGACTCGTTTTTAGATCCAACAAAAATGCATGCTGTAGTAATTTGCATGCCCCCTCTCTCATATCATGTACATACACATAAAAATAATTAAAGCAACCAAGCTCAATGAATGCAAAATATAGAAAATAAGAAATCCTTTTGGTTGCCTATTTTATGAAAGAACCTTCCTCAAATAAAAAATTAGAATATATTTATATATATATATTTGAATGTATTTTTCTCTATATAAGAATTTGGAGGAAATGGTTTCAAGTATTTATTTGACAGGTGACTTTAATGAATATCAATTAAGCTTCTTTTATATAGAGACCAAATCAAGAAGATCTAATGCTTTGTGGTTGCAATCGTAGTATTGCTCATAGAAGGTAATGAATATTTTGCATATTGATTTTTCTGTGATATTGCTAATTTAAATAATAAGTGATAGAGTATGAAAGATTTCATAAGTATCATTTAATAAGGTGATTCCAATGTAATCTAAAAGAAATTAAGAACGAAAAAGCATTCTTGAAATATAGATGCAAAAAAGAACATGATGAAGCTAGGTTTAGAATAATTACTAGGTGCTATATATCCAATTGTAGGTATTGCCTCTGTATGTATTCTAGATTGCCCTTCATCTAAAAGTTTGGAAATTCCAAAGTCACTCACATGAGCAACCATATCACCATTCAACAAAATGTTACTTGGCTTCAAATTGCAATGAACTATTGGTGTTGACAAGCCATGATGGATATATTCCAAAGCAGATGCTATATTTATCATTATATTGAGCCTTTGTAAAAAGTCCAAACAATAATTGTGAGAATACAACCATTTTTCAAGACTCCCTTTAGGCATGAACTCCATTATCAAACATTTAAAAGAACAACAACTTACGATCTTCACCAAATTATAATGACACACATTACACATTGTGTTGTGTTCCACTTCAAAGCACCTTGACATTTTTTCGGAATCAAAATTAAATACTTTAATTGCAACGGTCATCCCATTCAAAAGCTTTCCTTTGAACACTTCACCATAACTCCCCTTTCCAAGAATGTTACTCTCATCAAATCCATTAGTGGCCTCCAAAATTTCAAAATATGAAATCCTCCTTGGCCCTCCTAAAATAGATAAACCCCTCTCAATTGGTTCCCTTAAATTTGAATGTCTATGTCTTAAAAGGATAATACCTAAGACAATTAAAATTATTGACACAACAATGGGTGATATGCATTTTAGTAAAAGTGATTTTCCCATGACCATTTTCTTCTTCCTTTTTCACAAGGAGGCACTTTTAGTTGTGGAAGGCCACAAAGAGCTTCATTCATCATGAAAGATTCAGTAGTCAAATTTGCAAAAACTCTACCACTTGGAATCTCTCCTTGTAGTTTGTTGTAGGAGAGATTGATATACTTAAGATAAGTAAGTGACTCCAAGGATTTGGGGATCTCACCAGATAAATTATTCTCAAAAAGGTCCAAATTTTCTAAGCTCAGCATATTTCCAAATGATTTAGGAATATTTCCTTGCAAATTGTTATGTGCTAAGGAGAGATCTTGCAAGTTCATTAGTCCACCCAAAGATGTTGGAATATTTTCTGAAATATGATTTATTGACAAATCTAGTGATATAAGAGCATTTAAGTTTCCAATACTTGATGATACATTTCCAACTAAAATATTGGAAGATAAGTTTACTTTCAATATATCCTTCAAATTCCAAAAGGAGGAGGGTATTTTTAAAATTAACTTATTAGAGTCCAAGTAAAGTTCTCGTAAAGAGGTAACATTTCCTAAACAATGTGGCATTTTTCCAAAAAACTTGTTTCTGCTTAATGATAAATAGGCAAGCTTTGTGATTTCACATATCTCATCAATGATTAGGCCATGTAGCTCATTGCCTTCAAGATTCAAATATTGAAGATCCTGTAAACCACCAATTACTTTTGGAATTGATCCTGTCAACATATTTTCTCCCAAGGATAGTTCATAGAAACTAGTGAGATTCCGAAATTTGATGGAAGATTGCCAATTATAGAATTGCTTCCAAGATTTAAGTATCTCAAAGTTGAAATGTTAAAAATGTTGGACGGAATAGATCCCCTTAACTTGTTATATGACAAATCTAAGATCTCAAGCTTATGGAGATTGCCTATTTCCATAGGTATGAAACCTGTATTCCAAAGATTAATTTTGGTGAACTTATTTAAAGTGAATAAAAAAATAGTAAATAAGACAAATATCTAAAAACTGAGATATATCATTGTCCATACTGCTTTATATATTAGGTGAGTCAAGTTCTACATATAGAGTTTAGCTTTCTCCCCACACGCACGCACACAATAACAAGATGGACGCTTATCTTTTACATAGATTCTTTAAATTATTTCTATAAATGTAATTCAACTTATAAATAATTAAAAAATAATTCTGTTAAAATAAATAAGAGATTAAAGACTTTTTATTTATTTGTACCATAGTCGAGCATTGTAATCTAAATATAAAAATTAAATCATACTCTTGCATTTTGTCCTAAACATGCCTCCAATCCAACATTTGATGGTTGAAACTGAGAAAACTTATTAAGATTTAAGATTAAATTTTCAATTTCAAATATTTCAATCTCTTACAAAATATCTTTGTAATGGGGTAACTGACAAAAAAAAACTAAAAATTAATGTTTCTGATTTTGCACAAAAATAAAAACATGTGAACTTGAAAAAATGATTGTAGCAATTATATATAATTTTTTAAACTGTTAAAACATGTCTACAATGTTTAGGTTTTTAAGATCAACAATTTTATTAGGAATATTTTTTGCAATTAAGCAACAGATAAAATAAGCATATATAACAATGCTATTACTTGTTGAATGAATACCTTCCAAATTATTGGAACCCACAGTTAACTTTTGAAGCAGGGTCAAATTTCCAATACTTTTGGGTATATGACCTGAAAGAAGATTGAGACTTAAAAGCATAAGGGACAGTACATTAATTAAAGCACAAATTGTCTAATGCCATTTAGAAGTCACAAATTAGCTCGGCATGAGGTATTCCCAATATTTTCACTCATTTTAAGAAAATACTATTACATTGTTAACTTTGCTGAAAATCCAAAAATTCTAGTTTTACTTGTTTTTTTGATATTGTAGTTTTACCTTTCTTAAATAAACGAATTATTCTAGAAAAAAGGAATTAAATAATTTTTTAGAGAAATAATACTCATCAGGCTTATGTCTCAGAAGTAGCCTAGTATTCTAGCAGGACATAACATATGGTATCATAAGTTAAGTAAGACCCATCATCATCATATAAATTTTTTGCTAATATATATTGTATGAGAATAAGACCATGTAGTTTACTTAACTAAAAAAGTTGTTTGTGTGGTGACAGTTCATGAGCTTATAGCATGAGCTCACTCTAGATCCTGAACAACTCATATGATGACATCATATATATATATATTGTAGTATTGAAGATCATAATTTTTAAATGTCCACTATCTCTGTAATTTCTTTAAGAATATCTTTAACAACATTATTGTAGAAGAAAAAACAAAAAATGAAAATAAAAAGGCAATGTTTTCATTTAAAATGATGCAGAGAAAATCATTTAAGACAAATATGGGTAATAATGCATGGGCTATTGAGCTTTTACTTATTTAATTTTTTTATATTTATCTTAAAACAGCTTTGATAGGGGCTACTTGTATATTTATTTATTTAATGTGAAAATAATTTGATTCATTTAAAAAAGAACTTCATTTATGTAAAAAAAAATTAAAACATTGTTTATTTTCATCCTCTCCCTTTCTTCTACTCTCCCTCTTTCTTTCTAATACACGTGGAATCTTTTCAATTATTACTTGATTTAACACGCTCATTTGCAAGATATGGAATTGTTTTGCAAACAAAATAGAAAATTAGATATATAAAAAATTATTTTAATCAAAATATATCATTGAGGTTCATATATACAAGGGTACAAACAAATAGTGTTTTTAGTATGTTTATAGACACTGTTTTTAATTTAGGCTCATATACAAGGGTATGTAATATGTTTGCCACAGATGAGGGTGGGAGATGGAAACAGGGTAGTTGGTTGTGAACTGATGAAAGCTTTTTTTGGGAAAACAGAATTTAAAAATTATATAAATTAATTTTATATCTAATAAAAATGATATCAAATTTTTGTTTTACTTTATTTTTTTTTCCAAAACAGGTTTGATACCGGTTCCTTAAATTTTAATTACTTTTTAAATATAAATTAATTTGTCAATGTAGATTTCCATTTAAATGAAAAATAGGAGATAAAGAAGTCCAATTTGTTTTATTGTTTAGATCAATACCAACGTCAAATGCATAAAAGTGCAATCGAAATATATTTGATAAGATTGAATCTAGAAATTTGACTTAATGAGTAGTACATACCTTTGTGAAAGTTGTCTTCTAATGTTAAGTTTTTCAGCTCTTTGCATTGTGTCCAACCAGATGGTGTTGGCAAATGTTGTAAATTTGGAAGTCCATTGCATATATTAGAAGGAATGCCTCCTGACAAATTATTCCAACTTAAATCAATGTCCTGCAACTCAGATATATAAAAGATAGCAAATGAAATTTGGGCAGAAAACTTATTTCGGCCTCAATGTAAAATTTCCAGACTTTCAAGATTACCAATCTCTTTGGGAATATCTCCTACAATGTTATATAAAATAGACTCATCAAATTTGTTGTAATCAATCAAAATATAACTCTTCAAGTTGGAAATAAAAGAGGAAAGAAATATGTAAGATGATTTTTTAAAACTATTAATAATTTATTCTTCATCAATTTTTGAATTAAGAAAAGGGAAGTGAAAGGAAGAAAAGATAATGAAAACAATAAAGGAGAAAAAGTTGAGATGGAGGTATAAAGGCATAGACAACCCATAATCTGATAGTTCAATATCTATCTCTCATGCGTCTCTCTATGTAGAGAATTAAAAGGAAAATCTTCATTGTCTTGATGTGTGAAAAATAAATAGAAGAAAAAGAAATTATTGAGAGATTTAAAAGGAAAAAGACATGGACTTGGAAGGGAAAATCTTCATAGAATCATCAAGAACAGTATTATATGATTGCCTATACTTTTTAGCCTAGGAAACAGGGGTAAACAAAGTAAAGAATTCTCGTGCAAGTGAACCACTAATCTAAATATATAGTTAAGTTGTCAATTTTGACAGTAACGCATCATGAGCTGTTGGAAGTATAGTTAAGTTTTCAATGTTAGTTAAGTCAAAATTATTACAACAAAAATAGAAATCGCTGAAAATTTTTATTGCATATAACAACATCATATCTCTGTTATTTCCAAAAAATTGGCTTCCCAAGTTATCATCCCTAAAATTAAGACTTTTTATGCACAAAGAATTATTACAACAAGAATTTCATAAATGCACAAACTTATTGATACCTTGTAATAAAACAAAGGTGAAAATGAAAAATAAAATGCACCTTGTTCATAGTAATTCTTAGAAAATAATCTAAAAATGTTGCAAATAAAAACATAATATGAAGAAAAAGAACTCAAATACTGTAGAAGAGAAGACATCCTAACCAATATCACTAAAATTAACAATAACTAAAGTCTCTTTTTAGCTAACCAAAACTAAAGTATTTTTATGCATATAGAATTATAGACATGGGATATTTTGCACATATACAAATGTAATAACCCAAGAATTTTAGTAAGAATTAAATTTTATGGTAAGGTCTTTTGAGAGTAATTTTATAAATTTTGTGATAAATCTAGCAAGAAAAATTGGTGGTTCAATGGAAACTCTGCTAGTAGCCTATTATGAGGTTGTGTGTTCAAATCCTTGTTGTGAAAGAAAAGGAATTTTATTCTTTTTTGATTTAGCCTTGAGAACTTACTATATTTGTTGGACACCAACGTGTTGCAGATTTCACAACACAATTCTTGTCCATATGGAAACATGAATCTAAATATGCAGTTGAGGGATCTAAAGCATGATGATCAAAGATAGTGAAGACGGAAATTAAAATATATATATAAGTTTGTGGAGTATTAATTGAATCAAAGTAAAAAAAAAAATACTCAACATACCTTTCTAGGCATTAAAATCATAATTATGTTTGAAGCCAAAAAAAAAGGTAGAAATGAATTTAAACTAAAAAACAAGAGAAATTTTATTAACGCATGTTCACTGCACTACTATTCACTTTTTTTTTCACAAAATGGTTTTCCAAACACGTAAAAACCTTCTTGAGGCATGTTCTAATTAGCATGAGCTAATCAAATGAGTGTCAAGGCAATATTCTTACACATGATTTTTCCTGGAAATATAATTTGTTGCCATGTGCAGAGTAATTAAAAAAAAAAGAGTTCATTTTAGTACTGATGGATGATATGATATCCTAAAAGCAAAAATGAGTAGCACTTACATATTTTGTTAAAGAAGTGCTTTGATTCAGTAAAAATAAGATAAAGGTTTCCCATTTTATCTAAGCAAGAAATATATCCCAAAGAATATATAATACCGCAAGATAGATTAAAGTACAGTAAATTTGAATAATAAAAATTGGAACATAGTCTTGTCAATTTTTTTTTTTTTTTTGCCAACAACTCGCTAGCTAGAGGCATGAAGAAAAAAAGTAACATAACAAGATAGATTGCAAAAAAAAAAAAAATTATATACGTTTTATGTATGATGTACAAGTTAGATACGAAATTCACAATTTTAAAATATTATACTTCATTGTTAAAACATTTAAATCTATCTGAAAAATAAGTATGGCTTTTTTGGCTTTTATATATTCTCTTTTACTCCTCGACTATTAATACAGATTTTGTTGAGCTTTGCATAACTTAAAAAAAAAAAAAATTAGACAATACGTATAGTGATGGTTCACGTTTTCAATTTTGTTTTGGGTGAAATCACATATTTGATTTTCGATAAAAGGAATTTTTCAAGATTGTATTATTCATTTGACAAATTAAAAGCTACGGGTTTAACTAGTAAACTTAAACTTGCTTTTATGTCTGGCCGAAAAACTTTTATCTCAATTATTAAATAACTATGATAATGATTGGACATTTACAGTACTTCAACATTAATATATAAATCTATAAATACACACATTTCAAATATTATCTCCAATTTTGAAATTCCAATGAGGGTCTAAATAATAATTATGTAAATAAAAACTTTCACTTCAGGGAAACTTTATATAAAAATATTATATATTCAACATCATTCCAAAATTCTAATTTTTTTTTAGATTTTTTCTCACAAATTGGCTTTCCAAACAAGAAACAAAGAACGACTTCTGAGATTGAGAAAAGAGAAGTCAAAAGATAAGATGACAAAAACAGTGAAGAAGAAGTTGAGACAGAGCTACAAATTAAAGACATAGACAACCCATAATCTGATAGCTCAAATTAAAAGGAAAATCTTCACAGAATTGATTATTGAAAAATAAATAGAAGAAAAAGAAACTATTGAGAGAGATAAATGAAAAGAGCACGGATTTGGAAGGATAAATCTTCATGTAATCAATAATACTATTGCATGCTTACCTCTGTTTTGAAGTCCAAAAAATAGAGTAATACAATTCTATAATATTTGATGGACATTAAAGTGTTGTATATTTCACAACACAATTATGTGCATGTAAGCCACAAATTTAAATGTGTAATTGAGGGCTCTAAAGTACAACGATCAATGATGGTGAATATATATATATGTAAATAATGCCTTTCTTCTTGCTTGCAAGAGCATGAGAAGGTGGAAAGCAAGAAATAGATAATGATGGGTTGTGATGTGAATGTGTTCATATTTTTAAATTTGGAAGATCACCAAAAATTCCTTAGGATTATTGCTTGTCATATGATTAAAGAACTCAAATGAAGAGGACAAAAGAAAAAAACATGATTCTAGTGGTTCTAATAAATTTATTTAAAAATCTAAAAAATATTAAAAATATAAATATTATATTTTTCTGAAGGCAATTTGGTCCTTATAGTTTCCTCAATCTCTATTCAAAACACTTTTTAATATTTTTAATTACTGTAAGTGCCATGTAGGATGAGTTATAAGGGACTAATTTATTTTCTAAGAAATAAAGATGGATGCAAATAACAGAGGAGAGTTTAAGGACTAAATCATGACGTGTTAAAGTATAAAGACTGAATTGCAAACTCAGAAACTACAAGGACTAAATAGTTAATTTTTCCTATAAAAGTATAGAATTACTAACAATAATTATTATATAGAAACGGATGAAAATAGTGTATTATATACAATATTATATAAAAAATATGAATAAATTATTTACTTCATTGAATTTGTATAATTGCCGTTCTTAAATAATTAAATGGGAATTATTTTTATATTCTTTACAATGTTCTTTATTTAAGTACTGTTGAAAAGTTAATATGCTGCTCATATTTTATATTGTTATATGTTTGTATTCTTTTAGGTTTTATATTATTATACATCATCAATTATCTAATAGCATTTCTCTCACATCATAAAATTACTTTTAAAAATATCAAAAATAAAAATTGAAAATTGAAAATTGAAATACAATAGTTTGTCTGTGAGTGTGTGTAATTAAAAAAACTCCCACCCACCTTTGATTAATTCTAACTTCATCCCTCGTTCAAATGAAGAGAATCTGAAAATATAGTTATCTTTTAAAAATATTTTTTTCATGACATTCATAAAATTCTTGTGGTAGAAAAGTTGTTGGTTGGATAGATTGATTACACTTGTAAGGTAATACAAATCATAAGATTATTCAGAATTATAACGACTATAGAGAGATGGATAGTTAATAATTTAACTCATGGCACACAAAAAAAGCCTTAAAAATCCTTAACAAATGTTTGATTAATTTATATACATCATATTTTTTGTTCAGATAAAGCCCGCTATATACCACATGGCCACACTAATCAATCTCTACCGCATTACTACAATAGAAAATAATTAAAAAGTTATTTTTATGCCTATAAATAATTACTGAAACAAGAAATTTCACGAATAAATAAACTTATAACCAAAAAATGTGAAAAATGAACAATAAAGTACATATTGTTCATAAACTTACATTTAATGTCATATTAAAAGTTAAATTTTTTTAAACTATAGGGATTGAAGTTCTATATTTTTTATTTTTTTAATTCTTGTTTACAATTTAAATGGAACAAGTGAGATAGAGACTTCATATTTTAATATTGATATTAATATTGTCACTCAATAAGTACATTTCAACTCTAATATAATATATTAATAAACTGTATTTTGACCAGAAAGGCATTGTTATTCATGAGATTAGAGAACAAATTTTTTCCTTACTCCAACTGGAGTTTTCTTTGTTCCAAACTAACAAAATGCTGATCCACATGACATCCTAACTAGTATCCCTAAAATTAAAAATAACTAAATACTTATTTTTATGCATAAAGAATTGTAGAAGAAGAAAATTTCACACATACACAAATTTATAAACAAAAGAAAAAATATGAAGAGAAGATGCTTATTTTTC